ATAGCTGTTCGGATTTTTTTTCAATAAAAGTACTCGATTCTTCTATTTTCGAATAGAGAACGCTCTAGATGTTTGCAATACGTCTGAAGTTTGTTACTGAATTTTTGTTTTTTAAAATTACTAATATATAGCTCTTGTTTTTTTTATTTTTTTTTGTTTGTGTCGTTGTATATGGAGTAAATCCAGACTAATACCTAAACACAACGAGGATAAAAGTCCTTCTAAAATCGGTAACACACTGCCTAAAATATTCCAACCCTCTTCGAATAAACATTATTTCTTTTTAAATACAGTGACTTTTTCATTAAAAAGACAAGAAAAACACTCAATGAGAACATTGGAAAAGCTCCATCTATCGACCAAACCTGATCGAAGTTTATAACATCGATAATTTAATTTTTAAAATACAATACTGAACCTATATTGTCTACATACCTAAGTGGGCACTATGCCAAATTTGAAACACCTGGGTCACACCCAAAAATAGCTCACTCATTAGGTACCACGGCTGCAGTTACGCGGACATTCATAATTGCATTGTAAGTATTTGTGACTTGTGTCAAGAAAGATATGAAAATAAGTAGTATGCGCGTGCGCAACGTAAAACCCGTTATTTCAAAGCGTTTTAGTTTACAATGTAGTGCCGTGTGATTTGTTCAATAAGAGTTTATGTCACACGTTACGTTAATGCCATTAAATACGGTAGTCCAACTATTCAAATTCAATGCTTTTGCATTACACTATCCAAATGTCAAAAACGACACTTTTCTATGAAATACTGTGTAATAAATAGCTTACTTATTTCTTAAAAATATCAAAAATGTAGTGTAACGATCGATCTTTTTCAATATTTTATTATATTGAAACGTCGAATAATTTATTTTTGACCTAGGAAACTAACCAATTATGATTAAATTTCAAAAGAAATTCAATTTAAAGAAACTCATCTTTAAGAAAACCGATGTGAAACAACCACATTATTGTGTCGTATGTGTGAAGTTACCGGAGGCCCAGTCCTTCTCCTTCCTTAAGGCTCCCGCTTGTCATGAGGGTTCAAAATGTGGCAAGATCTATGGATATGACTTTTCCTAAATTAATGTACTTTCTAAGTATGTTAAAACACTACTGAGACACAGTGAAGGAAATCGCGAGGAAACCTGGACTAATGATTTCTTATTGTAAGTTTAGAATTAAAAAGGTATCAAACCTGGCAAGTGTCAATGTACTTTCTATGATTATATAGACACCACTGACAAAAAATGAAGAAAAACCTTGCGAGGTAACCTGGACTTATAATTTCTGATAATAAGTTTGAAATCGCCAATCCGCCTTGAGCAAGCGTGGTGATAAACGCTCAAACATTCTCCGTGTGAGAAGAGGCATTTGCTCATCAGTGGGCATTTATAGGCTGCACGTCGATTCAATAAAATTTGTTTGATTTTGAATCTTGTTCGAGTGTGAAGTGAGCGTCGAAGTGACTGGGAAATTACATTATAGAATGCCACTTTTAACGTCATCTCATACTTTATCTATCAAAATGTTGCTGTCAATTTAGTTCAACTCGCAAGTGTAGCGCTAGTGTACAACTACTCACAGCGGATTCAGATTCGAAGTTTAGAAAGAAGTATTACAGAATCAGACTGCTGATCTTGTTTCTTAAAGACACAATATTCATTATTCATATTAGATCTAAATTCTAAAGTTACCGTTTGGACAAACAGATCTTGTCTAAACACAGGTGCGAATTCACACACAGAACATGTTCAAACTAGCAACTAAACACCTGTTTAACTGTTTTGCAAGCACCCTGTAGAATATTTAAACAGCATGCTAAGATACCCCATAACCGTTAAGCGATTATCGACTTTGTAATAAAAGTGAAAGGTTGAGATTGTCTTGAATATGTTACGTAGTTTAGGGTAACTTAACAAGCTGTTGATGGGGAATTTTAACTATATGGAAAACGTTTGTTGATTGTTTGAGTTTATTGCATATGTCTAGACTATTCGTTTTCTCTTGTTTTCTTGGTTGGGTTGTCTTAGTGTGACTGTAAAACGTAAGATTACTAGTTCTGTCATCATCATCAGCCTGTGCCCACTGCTGAGCTAAGGCCTCTTCTCATACGGAGAAGGTTAGAGCATTAATCACCACGCTTGCTCAATGCGGGTTGGCGATTTCAAACTTATAATTAGAAATTATAAGTCCAGGTTTCCTCACGATGTTTACCTTCAGCATATGTCAGTGGTGTCTAAATAATCATAGAAAGTACATGTAACTCGGAAAAAGTCACATTGGTACTTGTCAGGTTTCGAACCTACACCCTCATGCATGAGAAGTGGGCTCCTTAACATCCCGGCCACCACGACATTTGATTAGTTCTGTATTCGTTGTTGGTTCTTTAGAGGTGGACAATGCACTGGCATTATTGATAGCCATGTTTCGCCAGTTACCTATCTAAAAAAATCACTATTACTTTAAGGGCGAAAATATGGTTGAATACAATTCTATACTCTACGCTAGTATTTACATCTCAGAATTTAAAAGATAGAACACCATACACTTCTCTCTCGTGGTGATTCGAAACACAATAGGTGCGCGAACGCCGGCCGGCGTTCGTTTGGGGTTTGGTGAATTGTACATTTATGAATCTCAATGATAGAATTTGAGACCTTTTCTGATCAAAACTTGAGCTTCCAACCAACCCCTTCACATCTAGGTTACCCAGGTCCAACAAAACAATAATATTTAACTTGACCCGGAGATGGAATGCTAGACCTAGAATGTCCACGTTATATATTACGTAGGCGTTTCCTATAAAGGAATTACCACTTTCCTGGCGCCAGGTAACTTTCTGTACTAGAACTTGCACATTGATTAATATTAATAAACTTAATCTGTGTTGAGCTATTAATAACCGTGTCTTGAAAAGCAAGATTGTTTTTTAGGGTAAATCATCATCATCATATGTCTTCTCCCGCCCTGGGTGAGAGGAGAGGGAGTGTCTGACTCTTATTGACTAAAAATTCCCCCGTTCCTTCTCCTGCTCCAGGCTGGTGCCGCTGTACATAATTATTAAACTTGTCCTAAAGTGCAGTTTCCAAAAAAAGATAACAAGTAAAACCTTTATGGTTTCCCTTTTTTCCATCAGTTCTACAAATCTGGGCCAACCCAGATATGATAAATTAAAAATGTCCAATCATGTATGGGAAATATACTTAACATCAGACAATAAAAAAAATATATATTTACTTTAAAAAAAGAACATTGAACCTCTTTAAGCTGTATTAAAAATTTAAAAATAGAAGTAGCGTTTAATTGGGACTAATGTCTCGAGAAGTAAAATCGATTGCTAACGTCATATGGATATAACATTTCAATCACATGTCAAGATCAAACAGTAAATTGGCAACAATTGTTCGGTAACACAAACTTATACAGGGTTCATGGTCAATGTTCTGATTATTACCATTCAAATGACCCATGGTTCAGAGGATTTGCTCAAACTGGCCGTCTGTACCCCAAACGATGGTAATTTTAGTCAAATTGTTTAAATTAAAGAAATAGTCTTTGCCATAACCTTTCAAGCGTGGTAATGCGAGACACAATAGAAGAATAATATGTGTGTGAAAGCCGGCGCTCGCTTCGAGTTGAATTAAAAAAATATATAAATAATAACAGATAATATCTCCTTGTGTACTCGTCGATACAAACAAATAATAAATATCTGTAAAATCTCCCATAATATGTCCTACTTAAAATCAATATTATCATCAAAACAATAAAATTAACCTCATTTAAATTGTTATAAAAAGGCTTGCAACACCTGCTTTACAAAAATTAATGGTCTGTCAGCGATATAAAAGTGTCAAAATTACCAGGGCGGGAATAAAGTAAAGGTGTTTTTTTTTAATGTGTCATCGACGTATCTTGATTCGCCGAGAAATGGGCCAAAGTTTAAAGATCCCATTATTTTATTCGCAAGAAATTCTTTAGTGACAGTGTTTCGTAAACTGCCAGACTAAAAATATATTAATTGTTGTTTGAATAAATAACGTGTTAATTTTATTATTGCTCGGATTTAAAATGGCGGCAATTATTTATTTGACGCGTTGTGGCGGCAAAATTAATTTCGTTTTCGTTTAAAACTTTCACATAGGCCCTTAGTGGCCTATTTTATTAATGTTATTGTGGTTTTCTGTTTATTTTATTGGGTGCTAAATAGTTAAGTGTATATTATGAGATAGAATTTTAATTGGTTATTTAATGGTTTGTTTATTTGGTGAGCCCTGTTTGTTTCGAGAAAATTGTAGGTATTTTTATTTTGTTTATTGTGAACATTTTAGAAATCGTGAAACTATTTCACTTTTTTTGACGGTTGACGGCTTTAAAAGATATTTTAGAAAAGGATTCTTATGAAAAGGTTATCTACAAATCTCTTGACAAAGTATCAGCTGTTATCGAAAGTATTAATGTATGTAAGTACTGATACATATGGATGATTAAAATTCATCACGTTAAAATAGGCTGAAATGAGTCTCTGAATTTAAGAAGTCAAATCTTCGATCAAAAATTCTTCTATGATCAAAGAGTGAAATAGATGAAAAGCATTCTACATTAATTATTATGTTTTCGGCTTACTCACGTAATAATTTGACGAGATACAGTACCACCGCGACAGACGCCGCGTCGCGTGTCGCGGAATGCTGCTCATGAATATGGGCCTCTAGCATGGCTTGAAACTAGTCGAGTATCTCGTCAAATTATTACGTGAGTAAGCCGAAAACATAATAATTAATTTGGAATGTCTCACGAAAGTTATAATAAAAAGCATTCTACATTCTCTATCCCGCACTTACAGTTTTTGTACCTCCGATTCCCAAGAATTGAACATATTCACATGTTACTTAGAAAAAGAAAATACGAATTTTCAAATGTTTTAGGAACTGTAGCAATTTATTATTTATAATTTCATACTATTTTCAACAAAATAAACTACTTACCAAACATGACAGTCTTGGTTGACAGTGTCACCAGGGACATAGATCTTGCGCGCGTATCTGCAGCCCATTGTATTATATTCTGGAGGGGGGGTGACTCCAAGACAGACCTGTGGGTAGTCTGGGCAACAGTCATCGTGGCCTTGGGTTCTGTTGCAGAACTGGTCGCAGTAACATTTGCTATCTGGAAGAGAGAAGAGGAAATAAGGTAAGAGGATATGCTGTTTATCGAAGGAGAAGATGATTAAAAATCTTGGTGGAGTGTCATCGTATGAGTGGACAAAATGGTCTCTTTTCCTCAAAGAGTCAAAATAAACTACTACAGATGGAGCCCAACAGCACCGATGTTCAGCCAAAGTTCCAGGGCAAGCGCAATGAGGTGCCTTAAAGCACAAGAGAGACTGCAGTCCGCTAAAGCGGAGTAATACCACGGCCTCACAAAAACCGGCGTGAAACAACCACAGCATTATGTTGCATGTGTGAGTGAGGTTACCGGAGCCCCAATCCCTAAACCCCAAAAGGTCGGCAACGCAAGGTCGTAAGTCTTCCGTTGTTGCGGGTGTCCGTGGGCGGCGCTGATTGCTTACCATCAGGTAATCCGAGCTCGTTTGCCGTCCTATCACATAGAAAATGTAATCTCACCTAGAATCCTATGTGAGCAGCTATCCTGCCTGTCTTTACAGCACTCCCCAGTGCGTCCACAGTATGGACCAGGCGGTAGATCAGGTCCGGAGTATGCGAGCACTAACCCAACTGCCCCGCAGAACAGAAGCGTGATTGGTAATCTGTAACAAAAGACACGATTACGTTAATAAGCAATACAAAGTTTTTTTCTGTCAGGGGAAAATCATCAAATGCCTTTTCTCGCCGGTGAGCCGATAAGGAGTGTCAGACTCTTACTGACTAAAAACTCCGTTCTTTCTCCTACTTTCGGCCTAGGCCGCGGTGCCTCATTGCACTTGTCCCGCAATCCTGGTTGGACATCAACCCTGTGAGGCCCCGTCTAAGATAAAAAATTATGACGACTCAAATTTTGTAATATGAATTTTTGCAACATTTTTCGATTCATGTGGCATATAGAAACTCCTCAAATAATAACAATAAATATAAAAAAAAAACAGCGAAGTACAGACAGCACGAAAATATAAAAATACTTAAATGCTTTTGCAAATCCTCGTCATAACATTAAAATTTTATTATAACTATAAGTATTTATTGTTATAGCTTCAAAAATAATAATAAAGGCTTCAAAAACACGTATCGTGGAGGTGAATGACCTAAATAATAGTCAAAAAAGTGCTAGAATCCATAAAGTAGAACTTAAAACCTATTAGCAAGCGTTATCGGGAACATTCGTAAGAAATGGATCAGCGAACTGTGAGATCCAAAGAATAAATTACGCAGACTCGACAATTTGTTAGTAAATTCTAAAACGCATACGACACGACATAAATTCAAAAGACTTTTATAGCTCTCGTAATGAAGAAAGAATAGTAAATGACTAATACTTAGTTGAAATAGATTATAAATATGTAGATGCGTCAATAACAATTTTCTGGATCAATGAGAACCATAACGTTTTATGTATGTAGATAGGTAATAGTAATAGTCACTAGACTTTTCCCAGTGGTTTTGTCTACGTCAAGAGGTCATTTAGTATAAGTGCAGTTAATTGTTCTCGTTTAAAATACTTGTTTTTTACATGTTTTATGCCAAAATTATATTGTTTTAGCTATACCAACAACTTTAGAATTTATAATATAATTAGGATAAGTACATGGTTATATTGACAGTGATTGTGGTGTAGGTACCTAATTGCATAAGTATAAATAAAAAATATGATTATTTAGACACCACTGGCATTAGGTGAAAGAAATCATCGTGAGGAAACCTAGACTTATAATATCTAATTATAAGTTTGAGTTTGACAATCCGCTTTGAACAAGCATGGTAATCAATACTCAAACCATCTACGTGTGAAAAAGAAACCTTAGCTCAGCAGTGGGCGCTTTTAGGCTGATGACGTGACGGTAGCCGACGATGTAAAATAAAAAACTGACGAATTGTAATGTCACGTCTGTAGCTATTTAGGTGTTTAATCTTTGCCTTTAAGACTTTATAGTTTGTAAATTGCGAGTATATCGCAGTAAATGTTTCCATTTGTTTGTATTAGTGAAACCATTAAACTGTGCTAGAATTTATTGACGATCTTGAATTACTTTTCCTGAGATCTTTTGGTATTCAGTGAGTCAGAACCTTTTGTTTATCGTTCGAATGTATGTATAATATTTTTTTAGGACTGCCTTTTTTCGAATGTTTATCCATAAAGACAATTATCACAATAGTTTGATGCTAGACTAAGGGCTTTCTCCATGAACACGATCGTCACCCGTACCAGTCATTAAATGTCTCCATTAAATGTCTTGCATCTGTTGAGCCGTGATGGAGTGTCGGACTCTTACTGACTAAAAACTACTGCGTTTTTTCTAATCAGTTGTGGCAGTAGACTTTTGAGATATTTTTGGTCGGTTGGCCTTTATCTCGCCTAGTAGTTAGCATTGATGGGACCTAAGGTGGAGCCTTGAAGAAACCCAGAATAAACTCTTCGAGGAACACAGATCCTGGGACAAAATTCCACTCAATATCGGTTTTGATTAAAAATAAATGCTTCGTGCGTGTGGAAACATTTAACAGAATCCAGTTTCTACCTATGTATTTCTTATATCGTATTGTCTTATTTAGCAAAGGGCAGTAGCTAAACAGAGAAAACAGACGCTCAGAATATTATTAAAAAATCTGTTTATTCAAGAAATAATACTAGGTAATATCGGAACCAGTAAGCTGCGGCTAAATGTCACTTGGGCTATTTCCATTGCTTATAGAAATAACATAGATACGGTTGAATCAGACCTTTGTAAACACTTGAACTTTAGCTGTCTGTGCGCAGGCGCAAGATTTCTCAAGGCTAACATTACGGAACTTTACAAGTAGATACAGGAATACATATAGGTACATAGGTATGTATAATAGTCGATGACCCGCTCGTTCAAACCTCGTTCCACCTCAAAATTAACTAATGTTTTGCGACCTCCTCAATTTTCCTGAGACTTCCACGAATATTTGAAGACCAAAATTGGCCAAATCGGTCCAGCCGTTCTTGAGATGACATCGTACCCACGGTTTTTGTGACGGAAGAGCTAGGACTAAGGATACTAGAGAATGAAAGATTTGAATGGTCCAGTTTTTTTGTTTCACCACGCGAGCAAAGCCGAGAGGAATAACTAGCATATACTAAACTTAGAAGTCCTGTTAAGTTTGTGCAATAGCTGACAAGACAAAACTCCTGCATAGAATTAAAAATCGATCGAGTCGGTCAAACTGAACTCAAATTTAAACTTTCGATGGAACAAAACAAAAAAAAAGAATTATATATATGTTTTTTTCAGTCCTTCCATTTATACAAAAAAAAATGAAAAAAGTCTAACTAAGAAAGCACAGAATATTTGTTACTTACAAAAGAAAAACATAATTTAACGACATTAAATTAAATGTAATAAAATAATACACGTCAAAAATACAAGATGGCCGTGGGAATTAGTTCAAACTTAGTTTCAGTTTGTACCAACTCCAGCATGTCAACGTACTCTAATTAAATTAAATTTCAATTTAAATTTCGTAAAATTTCTATAAAACTTTATTCCAACGATTTAGAACTGAAAATCGACTAGACACATTTTGGCAGATGAGTTAGCTTTTATTGCTGTTTTTGAAATTATCTTTGTACTCGTATTTTTACACATGTGACATAGTATAATTTTATTTAATGGTGTCGGTTTTGGTAACAATGTCTTATTGACATTATTATTATTATTATATCCTTTTGCCCCATTTATTACAAACTGTCTGGGTAATAATTACGCGTATAAAGATGTACACGATCAACACAGATGTTTTTAAAGTAAATATATGTTGGTACCTGATATTTTTATGGCAAATTACTAGAACATAATACTGAATATTCTTAAAGACGCAATAATAAGTCATTGACAAATATTTTACAAGGACTTTATGAATTAAAATAAACACAGTATAACAAAATGTAGGTGAACATATAAGCTTACATAAAACGTATTGTCTTTCACCTTTAAAATTAGTAAACAGAAAATAATTTCGAAATTCATGAATGAACGTAAAAATGTTTAACGTTCGAACTTTGAAATCCAACAACACAATAAATTCGTGCCAATATCCATCAATAACTGTCAAGCAGTTCCGTAGTTATTGGGCAACAAACAAACAAACAAACAAACATAGATTTACGACGAGACAACGGGATTTCTATTAACGTCGATGTGTTACTGACAAATGTATTAAACTAGACGTTTTTGCATATTACTAATATACACTTTTCGTTAGCTACCTACATTACAGAAATGTGATACCATAACAAAATGGCCATCTAAGATTGGATTATGTCCTAGGTCGAAAAGAAGTATTTGTTTTTTTCTATGAATAAATAACATTTAACATACCTTTAATCATTAATGCAAATGGCATTGAATTACAGAAGTATTAAAAAAAACAGCAAAACTAACTAGATTACTTATTGTTTTTTGTTTCGGGGACAAAATAATCGAATGACATTTCCTGCCTTGTTTGAGGCTAGACGAAATGTCAAACTCTTACAGCCTTATTACAAAACAAGGTTTTACTTCATTCTAAATCTAAAACATTGAGTCAGTTTTTTGTATTTCAAATTGAAGATGGATATGAATAAGATACAAAATTCAAAACCTGACTCAATTAGACAAATATTTTTTTTGCAATGAGTCAAATCTTACTGACTAAAAACAACCCCGTTTCTTCTGTTGAGCTAGGTTTATTGGCTGCTAAAAACAGCGGATAATTTAATGATATTTATTTTTTTATTTATTATGATAAGGTAAACTCACAGCTTATGTATAGGTACAGAGTAGTAAGAAGTATTCGTTACAAGAAGTAGGTCTTATACATTAGCCAAATTAACATTAACAATTGGTATACTTTAAGCCAAAATCCCTAGACATTTAAGAAAACGTCTGAATTATAACACTTTCCTGTAACACATACATTTATTATGGGTTATAAAGTGTATACTATATGCTTTGCCCTTGTCTCAATTCCTAACCAAACGTTAACAGACACAATATAAATCATTCCCCCTCTTATTGTCAATTTCTGTAAAATTTACGAGCCGAGAAACTTCGACAAATATATTTTTGCAGTCAAAAATGTTGTTGCTACGAACAAATTTGATGACAGAGATCTAACTTGAGGTGTTTGTTTAAGTTTGTTTTGTGGATATCTCAAGTTTCTATTAGCGCACTGTGAAGGTATGAAGATATTTTATTTTTTGATGCTCGTCTTGTTTATTTTGATTCTGTAGTCGTAAACGGGATTGCTCTACAATTTATGTTTACTTCCAGGGACCATTAAAACGTTACTGATTATTTTGACATCGAGAATCTTGATAGGCCATAAAATTCTGGATTGATTTCAGTATTTAGCTACATACCGTAAATCTTGTTTTTCTTTAATAGGCCATAAAACAGAACATTATTTTGCAGTGTTTAAAAAATCAAGATGAAGCATTACCTACCTAAATACCTAATTACTGACGGTAAGCCGAAACAAACTTTGCCAGGGTTGCGGGGCAAGCGCAATGAGACCGCAGCTTCGGTCCGGAGGAGGAAAAATAACAGGGGAGTTTGTAGTCGATAAGAGTCTGGCATAAGGGCCTTAGCGG